CTAGTGCCTAGGAGAAGGATGAGCAACTGAGGTCGACTCAGGGGACTCCAGCCCCGGGGCGCTTCAGCGCATTCTTCAATATAAACAATGTGATACGTGATGCCATGGAACCAACAAAGACCAGAGAGACAGGAACGGCCATTTCTGACTTACCCAAGGCCAGGGATGGCGACCGCGAACCCGCCACCCTTGAGTGCATGGAGTGCAACACTCTACCACTACACCATGGGCTCGTTGTGCTTATCGATTGCGATCCGGAAATCGGATGAATGCTAGGGTACTCATCGATGTGGTTACGTATAATGTCCGTCCCATAGTCCCGTGAAGCTTAATCTAGGACTCGTGCCCGTTTGAGAAAATCCGTACTCTTAGAGTTATTACAGCTATGATTTATAGTTACAGTAATAGTCAAACAAGTATTAATAGTCGAATGGTTGCTGGGACAAAGGTGAGTCTCTAACAACGACCCTCAGAGATGATAGTAGGGCGCTTACCGATCTAGTTAGGGAACACGCTCGTCTTGTTGTGACATGGAGCTCAATCTAGAGCCTCCGCAGGCACTCACACAGCGACTTGTATCATATGGTGGAGGGGGGAACCGACAAAAACGAGGGAGACTGACTGCGTATGACCGCCTGCAAAAGCTTTGTATTAAGATCTAAGGCATCCAAGCATGTTTCCTTACCGGATCGGTGAGCGCGCAAATATCAACATATCCCAGATCGCAACCGACAAAAACAACGGGCCCGTAGCTCAATGGTAGAGTGTTACATTCCGTGACCCATAGGTTGCGGGTTCGAATCTTGGGGGTCGCCACGCCCGGGGCTTCGGTATGCCTAGCTGATGACGGCTAGTAAGCCAGAAGTGGCCAGTCCGGTCTCCCTTGTCAAGTTCAGTTCCACATCAACGATGTGGTAAGCGTCTAAATTATCGCAATGTGTGGAAAGTAGGGGTTTGGATGGCTATCAACTGACTCAGCTTTCTTCTCTGCACAAACGGTCACGCTACAATGGCTCCCTCTTAATGTGGCTTAGATGACACTCCCACTCTGACTGAATTTCAGCCGGAGGCGGGCTGTTTAAATTTATCGGTTACCGGGGCCGACACCGACACCGGATTCAGGTGGGAGAAGAGAAAGAGTGTGGTTGATGCAGCAACGATAGGTCACTGTCCCCGTGAGAAACGAAAAATACTAGATCATGAGCCTTTGGTGTTTAAACCGAAGCAGACATAGTGGTGAGTACTGGTCACATTGGAGTAAAGCGCTCCGAGAGATTCGCATGAATGATTTGTGGGGGGACAGGGTCGACTTTGTGTCAAACTTGACATGCTTTACGAGTCTTGTTGCATCTTGCAAAATCTGCCATGTTCCGAGGCATGTGAAGTAGGATTACTCAACATAGCATCACTACTTAAAAGAGTTAAGTAACAACAATAATAATGTCGCGAATAGAAGGTCTCCGGCAGCAGGGTCGGAGACAAAACTTACTATACTGTCGTTGACCGGCTTTAACCAATTGAGAACAACCGAGAACAGGTCATGTCGCTTGAGCAGACGAAGTTCCACAAGCATGCCCTCACAACAAACGCGTCCAGAACACCAGAGGGAGTAAAGGCTTTCGGACTCTTTGGTCAGGCCGCTGCTCACCGAATCCGGTTGGCCGTCGTCACCTGTGCGGAGGGGGGGGACACAAATTTGGTTTTAACAGTCAAGGCTAGCGAGGATGGAATAAACAAGAG